GGGTCGGGAAGATCCTCTGGAGAAGGGAATGCAACCCACTCCAGTATTCTTGCCTGGAGAATCCCATGGACAGAGGAGCCTAGTGGGCTACAGTCCATTGGGGTCACAAAGAGTTGGGCACGACTGAGTGATTAATACTACTACAGAAGTCTCTTAGTCGTGTCCGACTCTTTGTGACCCCATGGACTGTAACCTATCAGGCTCCTCTGTCCATGGGATTTTCCAGGCAAGAATGCTGGAGTGGGTTGCCATGTCCTTCTCCAGGGGATCTTCCCGACCCAGGGATTGAACCTGGGTCCCCTGCACTGCAGGCAGACGCTTTCCCATCTGAGCCACCAGGGAAGCCCACTACTGTATAATCATAAGGGGTCTGATTTAGGTCATACATGAATGCTAATAGTTTTCCCTACTTTTTTCAATTTAAGCCTGAATTTTTCAATAAGGAGCTCATGATCTGAGCCGCAGTCAGTTCCAGGTCTGTTAAGAACAATATTGCATAGGAACCTGGAATGTTAGGTCCATGCTTATGCATATGCATGCATGCTCAGTCATGTCCAACTTTGCGACCCCGTGGGTATTAGCCCACCAGGCTGCTCTGTTCATGGGATTCTCCAGATAAGGATACTGGAGTGGGTTGCCATTTGCTTCTCCGGGGGATCTTCCTGACCCAAAAATCGAACCTGCATCTCTTGCATCTCCTGCATTGGCAGGCAGGTTCTTTACCACTAGTGCCACCTGGGACGCCATGATTAGGTCCATGAATTAAGGTAAATTGGACATGGTCAAGTAGGAGATGGCAAGAGTGAACATCAACATCTTAGGAATCAGTGAACTAAAATGGATGGGAATGGACAAATTTAATTCAAATGACCATTATATCTACTACTGTGGGCAAGAATCCCTTAGAGGAAATGGAGTATCCCTCATAGTTAGCAAAAGGGTCTGAAATGCAGTACTTGGATGCAATCTCAAAAATGAAAGAATGCACTCGGCAAATGATATCCAAAGCTAATCATTCAACATCATAATACTCCAAGTTTATGCCCCAACCATTAATGTTGAATAACCTGAAGCTGAATGGTTCTATTAAGACTTACAACACCTCCTAGAACTGGTAATAACAACAAAAAAGATGTTCTTTTCATCATAATGGATTGGGATGCAAAAGTTGAAGGTTAAGAGTTACCTGGAATAACAGGCACGTTTGGAGTTGGAGTACAGAATGAAGAAGGGCAAAGGCTCATAGAGTTTTGCCAAGAGAACGCACTGGTCATAGCAAACACTCTCTTCCAGCAACACAAGAGACGACTCTACACATGGACATCACCAGATGGTCAGTACTGAAATCAGACTGATTTTTACTTTAGCCCTTCTAATATGTGAGTACTGAGTATCTCATCATGGACTTGGCTGGCATTTCCCTGAGAGCTATGATTTGAGCCTCTGTTCATGTGCTGGCTGCCATCCGTGTGTCTCCCTGCCGAAGTGTCCGCTCAATCTACTCTCAACTTTTTCTCACTGGGTTTATTTATTTATTTTTTTTCATTTATTTTTATTAGTTGGAGGCTAATTACTTTACATCATTGTAGTGGTTTTTGTCATACATTGAAATGAATTAGCCATGGATTTACATGTATTCCCCATCCCGGTCCCCCCTCCCACCTCCCTCTCCACCCGATCCCTCTGGGTCTTCCCAGTGCACCAGGTCCGAGCACTTGTCTCATGCACCCAACCTGGGCTCTCACTGGGTTTAAAAAAGTGTTTATTTATTTGGCTGCCTTGGGTCTTGGCTGAGGCACGTGGAACGTCCACTGGGCACACGGACTCGCTCTAGTTGTGGCATGCAGGCTCAGGGGTTGAGCGGCCTGGGCCTGGGTGCTCCGCAGCGCGTGGGGTCTCAGTTCCCCGAGCAGGGATCAGACTCGTGTCCCCTGCTCCGCACAGTGGATTCTCAGCCACTGGACCATGAGGGAAGTCCCAGGTTGTTTTGACTGTTGGTTTTTGAGAGCTCTTCACACATTTTCAGCACGTATAGCCAGGTGTGATTCGCCGTTCCCCCCCACCATATAGCTTGCCTTTACATTCTCTTAAAATGCTTTTCTGAAAGGAAAATTTAAGTTTTTGATAGAATCCAACAAATCATTGCTTTTTTAAAATTTGTGGTAAAATATAGATGACAAAAAATACGTTGTTTTAACCATTTTTAAGTGTACAATTCACTGACATTAAGTAAATTCACCATGTTGTGTAACCATGATCATTTATCTATTTCCAGAATCGCCTCATCACTCCAAACAGAAACTCTGTACCCACTGGGCAGTATCTCCCCATTTCCGCCTCCACCAGCCCCTGGAAACTCAATTCTACTTTCTATCTCTTGGTCTGTTCTTGATACCTCCCCTAAGTGGATGGATTAGGAAATGGTAACCCACTCCAGTATTCTTGCCGGAATAATCCCATGGATAGAGGAGGCTGGTGGGATACAGTCCATGGGATTGCAACAGAGTCGGGAACAACTGAGGGCACACAGTTAAATGGAATCACACAGCATTTGTTCCTTTGCAATGGGCTTATTTCCTTTAACATGACATTTTCAAGGTTCATCCATGTTGTAGCAAATGTCAGAACTTAATTTGTTTTTCATTTCATTTTTAATTGTGGTAAAATACAGATCAAATACCTCCTGAGAAATCTGTACACAGGTCAAGAAGCAAGTTAGAACTGGACATTTAACAACAGACTGGTTCCAGATTGGGAAAGTAGTACATCAAGGCTGTATATCGTCACCCTGCGTATTTAACTTATATGCTGAGTACATCATACGAAATGCCAGGCTGGATGAAGCATAAGCTGGAATCAAGATTGCTGGGAGAAATATCAATAACCTCAGATATGCAGATGACACCATACTTATGGCAGAAAGTGAAGAGGAACTGAAAAACCTCTTGATGAAAGAGAGAGAGTAAAAAAGTTGGCTTAAAACTCAGCATTCAGAAAACTAAGATCATGGCATCCGGTCCCATCACTTCATGGCAAATAGATGGGGAAACAGTGGAAACAGTGACAGACTTTATTTTTGGGGGCTCCAAAATCACTGCAGATGGTGACTGCAGCCATGAAATTAAAAGGTGCTTGCTCCGTGGAAGAAAAGTTATGACCAACCTAGATAGCATATTAAAAAGCAGAGACATTACCAACAAAGGTCTGTGTAGTCAAGGCTATGGTTTTTCCAGTGGTCATGTATGGATGTGAGAGTTGAAATATAAAGAAAGCTGAGCGCCGAAGGATTGATCCTTTTGAACTGTGGTGTTGGAGAAGACTCTTGAGAGTCCCTTGGACTACAAGGAGATCCAAAGTCTAACCAGGATATCAGTCCTGGGTGTTCATTGGAAGGACTGATGTTGAAGCTGAAACTCCAATACTTTGGCCACTTGATGCAAAGAGCTGACTCATTGGAAAAGACCCTGATGCTGGGAGAGATTGGGGGCAGGAGGAGAAGGGGACGACAGAGGATGAGATAGTTAGATGGCATCACCGACTCAATGGACATGAGTTTGGGTAAACTCCGGGAGCTGGTGATAGATAGGGAGGCCTGGTGTGTCCATGGGGTCGCAGACAGTCGGACACAACTGAGCGACTGAACTGAACTGAGCGGAACAGATCACATAAAATTTACCATCCTAACTGTACATTTCAGCAGCGTGAAATACATTCTCATGGTGATGCAGCCGATCTCCAGACCTCTTTTCATCTTCCCAGACTGAAGCTCCGTCCCCATTAAAAACCCCTTTCCCCCCACACTCCCGCTTCGCCTTTCTGGCTCTATGAATCTGGACACTCTGGGGACCTCATACAAGTGGAATCAAACAGTGTTTGTCCCTCTGGGTCTGGCTTCTGTCGTTCAGTGCCACGTCGTCAAGGTCCACTCAGGCCGACCTGTGTCAAAAGCGCCTCCCTTTTTCAGACTTAATAACACTCCAAGACACTTCTAGGCCCGGTCCACCCTCCCAAGCCCGGACGCTGCAAGATGTGGGGCTTGCAGGACCGAGCGGGAGCCGGGGGCCAGGTCCGCCCAGGTGCGGACATGCGGCGGGAGGGCGGAGCGGCCCCACCCGCTGCCACCCCGCCCCGGCTGGGCCTGGCCCCGCCCCGCCCCGCCCCGCGGCCTGCCGGGAGACGTAGGCCCGAGCCGCTCAGGAAGGCGGACTCGGAGTCCCAGCGCGCCCCGAGGCGCGCCTGCAGGCCTCCACTGCGCTCCAGCCCGTGGCCTGCCGGGACTTGTAGTCCGGCGCCAGCGGGCGCCTCGGCGCGGGGCGAGCGAGGGACTCGCTGTCCCAGAAAGCCCCGCGCTGGGCCGCGACGCCGCGTGCCCTCGCCGCCGCTGCCGCCGCCGGGCTTTCTCCGGCCGCCGCCGCCACTGCCGCTGCTTCGCGAACTGAGGGCCTAGGCGTCCGCGGGCGAGTGGAGGCTGCGGGTGGGAGCCCTCGCGGGCACTGCGGAGCGGGCCGGGGGAGGCCGGGATGGAGCCCCCCGGAGGTGGGCGCGTCGCCGGGCTGGCCCGCGCCTGGGCCGGTTGGGGAGGGGGCCGGGCGGCGCGGCCGTGGGGCGGGGCCGGGGGTGAGGCGGGGCGAGGGGCCCCGGGGGCGGGTCGGGGTCCGGGGTCCGAGGAAGGCTGGGGGCCGGGGAGGTGTGCGCGGCGTCGGGGGCCGGGTGTCGCGGGGCTCACCGGGGAGGCCTGAGGCAGGGTCGGGCGCGGAGGGCACGGGGCAGGAGCCCTTCGGGGGGGATCCTTCTGACTCCAGCTGGTCCCAGATGGTTGGAGGTGGGGGCTGCCGCCGGGTCCCGAGGGGGCGGGGAGCCCCGCGTACCCGGAACAGGGCCCCGAGCCGGTCTGCTCTCCCTCCAGTTGACTGAAGCGGCCTGAAGCGGGTTCCAGAGCCTCCAGGCGGGATCTCGGGGCCTCCCAGGGGCGCGGCGGATGGTCTGAGGGCTGCGCAGACATGGCTCACCTCAGGGGATTTGCCAACCAGGTAAGGGTGGGCGTCTGGGCCATGCGCGCGTGTGTCCGCTCGCCTGGGACGGAGCGCCGGCTGCAGAGTTCGAGACAGGCCGTTTCACCAAGGACTGTCTTTTGAAAAGTGCTCCGGGGGTCTCAGAAGAGCAGCCCCTCTTAGGGCGCGTGTGGGAGGAGGGGTGGGAGCCCCGTGATGCGCAGCCCTGGGCAAAGCGGGAGCGGTCACCAGGTGCTCAGACTTGGTGGGTGCGCGGCTGAGTGGAGTCGCCCGGTGGCAGCGCCCTGTGGGGCCGGAGCCCACCAGCCTGTCACAGTGTAGCCCCCGTGCAAGGTCAGCACAGAGGCCGACGCTGGCACACGGCTGGGCCGCAGGAACCGGGTGTGTGCACCTGGAGGGCTGCGGAAGGTCAGGGTCTGCGGGCACCTCGGCTGGGGGGACGAGGGGGGCTGGGAGTGTCTGTGTGTGGGGAATGCAGAGGACAGGCGTGTAAGTTTCTCTTGAGGGGTGGAGAGGGCTGCCATTGGACTGGGGGCGGGGGGCTGCCTGGGAGATGCCCACTCTTTTTTGGCTGGTTGGTTCTTGAAGTTACCAACACCACAGCACTTTGAGGGGTCTGGCTTTGAGTCCAGGGGACCCTCCACAGCGTGGCCTGAGGTCGATAGCTGCAGTTAGGAGGGCCGGAGCAGCCACTGTCAGGGCTGTGGTCCACACTTGCCGCCCCCCCCCCGCCTTTTTGTTACTGCCCGGCAGGTGTGACTGGAAGCTGCTGTGAAGTAAACCCCCAGCTGGTCCGGTGGTCCTTCATCCTAGCTGTTGGGTTTTGCTCTTAAGTGGTCAGCTCGGGTGTGGTTTAGGCTGATGGCTGTGAGGTGGTGGGAGCGCCTCTGGAAGAATTGAGCCCTGAGGTTCACTCCGGTCAGCCCAGTTTGGGAGGACTGGGTGCCTGGGAGGAACAGGAAGTGGTGTCCTCGTGGGGGAGGAGGAGCTGGAGTCCGGTTGGCTCTAGATGCCTGGCTCTTTGGAGAACCCTGGGGTGCTGCCGAGGCTGCAGGTGGGCTGCTGACAGGGCCGATGGGCTCACACTTGTCTTGGACACGTGTGTCTTCCGAGTCCCTTGACTAAGATGCTGGGAGGGAAGTCTGGCTTGAGGTCAAGGGCTGTAGGAATGGCTCTCGTGTGTGGACGTGGAGCTGTGAGCGGCGCCTCACCTGGGTGCTGGTGGTGCTTGGAGCCGAGTCTGGGTGGCTGCATCTTGCCCTGGGACGGAGAGGGGCTCAGAGGAGCTGAGGCAGGGACCCCAAGGGAAGGAAGCCCCTTTTGTCCTTTCAAGGGTGGAGACGCTTGGTCTTTGTCGGTGACAGGAAGCCTGACAGGACGTTGCTTTCCTTGAGATGGCTGTCACCATGGCCCTGCGAGGCGGTCCCTGTGTGCGTGGGGCAGTGCGCCCGCTCCCCGTGGGGGAACCTTGGGCGTCAGACCCCCGCCGAGCTGATTCCTGCCCAGGGTCTGTGCTGCCGCGGAAGCCCCTTGTGCACATGACTGCCACCTGTCGTGGGGTGCATGGGGGCCCCTGGTCAGCTCTCACTTGGGGAGTGATGCTAGTGGTGGGCGTGTAGACCGCTGAGCGGTGGCCGCAGACCGGGCAGCCCCAGGGCGGGTTCAGAGCACGGAGGTCTGGGCCGAGCGAGCAGCCTGCGCGGTTGTCCAGACCCGGGTCTCGGAAGGGCCGCTGTGAACCGGCCCCGGGCCCTGTCTCTCCTCTCCCCGGTGGGGCTGCGAGCAGGCCGTCCCGGGATGGGCCGTGGGGGCCCTCTGTCCACTCAGGTGCCTGCCCCGCAGCCTTGGGGACCCAGAGAGACTGAGAGCTGGGCCAGGCTCCCCGCTCCCCTGCCAGACCTGGCCTCTGGTTAGGGGTCTGCCCTGTGCCCGCCTCTGAGGCCATGGAGAGCTGGGTGCCCCGTGTGGGGTGTTTCTGGTCAGGACACTGAGGGACCAGACCCGTCTCTGGGCTGGCCTCGGGGCGGGGTGGGGTTGTCACTGGCAGAGGCCTGAGGGTGGGAAGGGGAGGCCGAGGGAGTGCCGGGGGGACGGGGGTCCCCATTAGTGCTGCCAGGCTGGCCTGCCTGCCCTGCGTCTGCCCTGAGGCCACCTTGGAGGGAGAGGACCCTGTCTTTGGAGCATGGGCTGGACTGGAGGTGTGCTCAGGGCCGAGCCTGCGTGAGCTCGGGAGGGGCTGGGGTAGGGGGGTGGCAGGGGGTGGCATCCCGGGCTCCCTGACCCGGCTCTCTGCCAAGGCGGCCGCCTGCGCCCTATCCCGCTTGCCTGGAGCTGTGAGGTTGGGTGAGCTCTTCCCTGCTGGTGACATTTCTGGGAAGGCAGCTCTTGGCCGCTTCAGGTTGACATGTCTTCTTGGTCTGGAGCCAGTGGGCCCCGAGCAGTGCCCTGCGCGGGGGCAGCCCTGTGCCCCGGGACTCTGCTCAGAGCCTGTGAGCGGCTGCCCTGGCTCCCTCAGTGCCAGGGCGCTTGCAGAGATGGGTGGGCATGGTGCCACTTTAGGGGGCGCCCTCGGGGATGGTGCTGCAGTTTGGAGGGTGCTGTGTCCTGTGGACTTGTGGCCCAGCGAGCTCGGGAGACCCTCTCTGCCCCTGTGGGGACTAGATGCTAGTCTCCCTGCCAGCATACCAGCGCCACTGGGGTCCCGGGTCTTCAGCGCCTGCAGAGGGGGAGCAAGGTGACCTCAGCACCCAGAGGGCCACGCAGGTGGGGGTGAGGGATGCCCCGCTGTCCTCCACGCAGCCCCACACTGAGCGTCTCAGGCCTGGACACTGAGGGTCAAGGTCGAAAGCCAGATTGCCCCGTGGATGCCCATGTGCCGCTGTGTCCTGGCACTGAGCCTGCCTGAGGGTCCGCGCCTTGTCAGGCGGGTCTGTGCTCCAGTCTGAGGACCAGGTTGGGAGGGTGGTTTTCCGTCCGTTTGAACGTCCAGGAGAGCGTGGGTTTTCAGCTCCGAGCTAGGGTGAGGGCATCGCTGTCTTGAGGACTCTCTCTAAGGGGCCTGGCTTCCAGGTATGCAGGGAGAACTCAGTTAATACCTGTTGAGTTTTATTCTTTTTCTTTGATGAATAGGCTTTACTTTTTAGAGCAGTTTTCAGTTTAAAAAGGTGAGTGACAGAGTTCTTTGCACCACTCGACCCTTCCCTGGAGTCTGTCATAATCGCTGGCCCAGCATGGTCAAGCTGTTGCCCACGAAGCTGGCAGCCTGCGAGGCTGGCCCTGTGTGCTCACAGCATTGCCCAGGCCCGTTTTCCAACTGCCCCCAGCTCCCCGTGCTCATCCCTCCTAACCCATTACTTGCCTCCCAGGGTCTGCCTTCCCCATGGCCCTGGTTTCTTGGCGAGAGCCCCTACCTCTCAGCCCTCTCTGAGGACATTTGCTCCTGTGGGGAGGTAACTTTAGGTTTTCTGAATGAAAAGGGATATAAGAAGTGAGAAAAGAATTTAGGAGGGCTCCCTGGCCATCCACCCTTGACCAGGCCACTCGCCCATGTCCCCAGCACTCGCGAGTGGACCCCGAGGAGCTTTTCACCAAGCTCGACCGCATCGGCAAGGGCTCTTTCGGGGAGGTGTACAAGGGCATCGACAACCGCACCAAGGAGGTGGTGGCCATCAAGATCATCGACCTGGAGGAGGCGGAGGACGAGATTGAGGACATCCAGCAGGAGATCACTGTGCTCAGCCAGTGTGACAGCCCCTATATCACGCGCTACTTCGGCTCCTACCTGAAGGTGCTGCCGGCGGGGGCTGGCTCCAGCCACCCCATGATGGGCGCCCCCCCTCAGAGAGGGGGCTGCCCAGGCCCCCTGTGGCCAGAGTGGGGATGGGGCTGGCGGGCCCTGTCTGCTCAGGAGACCTGGCTGGGTCTGCCCCCCTGGGCCTGGTCTGCAGGGCAGGGGTCCCCACAGGAGGACATGGACCCAGCTCAGCATGGACCAGGCCCCCAGGGAACGACTGCACCCAGGGCCAGGGGCCCGGCCTTGTCCTGAGGGAGCCCAGGGGTGGCAGGGCGTGAGCAGGGAGCGGCCGGCTCTGCAGTGGCCTGTTTGTGTCCCTCCTGGGAGGGGGCCCAGAGTCCTTCCCAGGGGCTTTGGACAGTGGGCTCGGCCGCTGTTGTGAGCGCACGGCCCGTCTGCAGTGTCTGCGCAGAGGGGTGGCGAGGGGAGCCAGGCGGGCTGCTGATGCCGCTCCCGGTGGGCATCCTGGCTGAGTCAGCGCAGCTGGGCATGTGTTGGGGCCCCGCGCTGCCTGCTGCTGCCTGCTGACATGCTTCTCTGCCGCAGAGCACGAAGCTGTGGATCATCATGGAGTACCTGGGTGGTGGCTCCGCCTTGGACCTGGTGAGCTGGCGGCCTGGTGGGCTGGGGCAGGGCCAGACTGAAGAAGTTACCTGAGGTTGTCCTTGAGCCCGGGGCTGCTGTGGCCCCCTCCTTCACTGTCTCGGTGGCTGGCTGTCCTCAGGCCCAGCTGAGGGGTCCGGGTCCTCTGCTGGCCTGTGCGGCAGGGGGTTAGTCCCCCCAGCAGGCGGGCTTAGGAGTGTGCCAGGTCCCCGTTCTCAGCTCTTACCTCCCCGCAGCCATCTGAAACTTTAATTTCAAAAGTGGGTCAAGAGGGCTTCCCTGGTGGTCCAGCGGCTAAGATTCCACTTCTAATACAGGGGGCCTGGGTTCAATCCCCGGTCGAGGAACTAGATCCCACATGTCGCAACCAAGAGTTCACATGGTGTAACTGAGACCCGTGCGGTCAAAACACAGTGGGAAAAGAAATAGGAAGCTCCCACGTCCAGAGGGTCCCCCCGCCCCTGGCACTGAGGCGGGCGAGCTCAGGGTCAGTGCTGGCTCTGGGGCGGTGGGGAAGGGGTGGGTGGGCTCCGTGGGGAGGCCTGAGGCCCTGCTGGCCCCTCTTGTCCGCAGCTGAAGCCGGGCCCCCTGGAGGAGACCTATATTGCCACCATCCTGCGGGAGATCCTGAAGGGCCTGGATTACCTGCACTCGGAGCGCAAGATCCACCGAGACATCAAAGGTGCCTCACGGCACGCTGTGGCAGGAGGCGTGGGCGCGGGGCCAGCGGTGCTCGGTGCCCACTGCTCGCTGCGGCCCCGGAAACCTGGCAGTCCCGCTGTTTCCAGTAACAGCGCTGTGTCCCTGCACACAGCAGAGCCGGCTCTGCACGTAGGATAGGAGGGCCCCTGCTTAGTCTGTGAATGTGAGGTGTGTGAGAGCAGCCGTGCTGGTGGATGTGAGTGGCCGGGCCAGCCTGCAGGGGCCTGACTGGCAGAGCAAGGGGAAGTCAGGCAGTCCCCTCTGCCTGTTGAGCGATTTGGCAGGGAGGGTGGTTCCTGTGCCCGGGGTCTTCAGTGGTGGTGACCGTTAGGGGGGCACTGGGGCTGGCTGAGGGTGCACGTGTGCAGGGCCCACAGGCACCCGCTGGCAGTGTGCCATGGCCTTGGGGCTGAGGGCGGACCTCCTTGGTGGGAGATCAGCCGGAGGCTGGGAGGGTGCTTCCTAAGGCGGTGCGGAGGGTGACGCCTGCGGTCCTGTGTCACAGCCGCCAACGTGCTGCTCTCGGAGCAGGGCGACGTGAAGCTGGCAGACTTCGGGGTGGCAGGCCAGCTCACGGACACGCAGATCAAGAGGAACACGTTCGTGGGCACCCCTTTTTGGATGGCGCCTGAGGTCATCAAGCAGTCAGCCTATGACTTCAAGGTGGGCTGGGTGGCGGGGGGGGGGGGTGCGGCGTGCTGGCGTGGGGGCCGCGGGGCTTGGGCGGCTTGCATTTCAGTGGCGCCGTGGCTCTCTGTCCAGGCCGACATCTGGTCACTGGGGATCACAGCCATCGAGCTGGCCAAGGGCGAGCCCCCCAACTCCGACCTGCACCCCATGCGTGTCCTGTTCCTGATCCCCAAGAACAGCCCGCCCACGCTTGAGGGCCACCACAGCAAGCCCTTCAAGGAGTTTGTGGAGGCCTGCCTCAACAAGGACCCCCGATTTGTAAGCTCCTCTCGCCCCCAGCTTATGAGTGGTGAGAACACCTGCACAGCTGAGCATAGTTGGGGCGCCTGGAACTGCACCCCAGAGGATACTGGGGGTGTGTGTGTATGTGCATACTTGCATGGAGGGGCATGCAGTCTGTCTGTAGTGGGAGCTTGGAGGTGACAGGGCTGGAGGCCCCTCCACTGTGCCAGGGCAGTCTCTGTTGTGCTCCCGGCCCAGGCCAGGAGGGTATGGAGGGAGGCCCTTCCCCTGGGGAGGATGGTGTACAGCCACCCACCCCCCTGGGTGCCCCTGCCACCTGGGGTCCCCTGACCAGGCTCCCAGCGGGGGCAGCAATGCTGATGACCCGGCTTAGCCCAGGCCTCCTTGCTCTGAGCGCCAGGGGCTCCCCAGGCAGCACTTGTCTGCCCGGCGCCTGGTGACCCGTGTGCGTCCCTGGCAGCGGCCCACCGCCAAGGAGCTCCTGAAGCACAAGTTCATCACGCGCTACACCAAGAAGACCTCCTTCCTCACCGAACTCATCGACCGCTACAAGCGCTGGAGGTCGGAGGGTCATGGCGAGGAGTCCAGCTCCGAGGACTCTGACATGTAGGGCCTGCTCTTCCCACGGGGCCGAGACGGGCTCCCCGGGGCAGGGTTCGGCCTTTGGGGCCTTCCTGACTTCAAGGCCCCATGTGACTTCCCATCGTCCCCTTCAGAGATGGAGACCCCGAGGACGGAGAGCAGGGGCCCATCTGGACCTTCCCCCCCACCATCCGGCCGAGCCCACACAGCAAGCTGCACAAGGGGGCAGCCCTGCACGGCGCCCAGAAGGTCGGCCCGGCCCTGGGCGCGCCGGAGGGAGCGGGCTGTGGGGACCCACCTCCTGGGACGCCCGCTCCCCAGGGGTGGCCCTTCGGGAGACCAGGATGGGGTGGGGGGTTCGCAGCTGCCTGAGCCCCCTGCTTCTGCCTTGCTCATCTCTGCACGCTCTGCGCTTGTAGTCGGTGGAGCCCGTCAAGAGGCAGCCGAGGTCGCAGTGCCTGTCCACGCTGGTCCGGCCCGTCTTTGGAGAGGTGAGGGCCGAGCTGGGGTGGCACGGGGTATCTGGGTCCCTCGGGGCTCATGAGCTTGGTCCCTTGGACCTGGCGTTTTGGGTGAAAGGACCAGAGCTGGCTGGGATAAGCTGGCCTCAGGTGACCCTCGAGATCCCGAGCCTGCCGGGGTCTTCTGGGGCCCCAGGGGGGCTTTGGACATGAGCTGCCGTCCTGGGACCCTTCCTCCTGAAGCACAGACACGGGGTGATCCGCAGTCTAGAGCACCTGGGCGTTCCAGTCGTGGGCCTCAGGCCCTGGGCAGGGAGCCCTTGAGGGCCACGCCCAGCGGTCACGTGACCCAGCGTCTCTCACTTGTTCAAGGGTGCTCAGCAGCATCCCTGGAGTGAGTCACCAGCAGTGTGCTGTGGCCGTGTTCACGCCCGGAGTGACGCTGGCCCTGGAGCCTGGGAGCGGGCGTGGACAGCCCTCCCACCCAGGGGCCTGCGGTGCCGGGGTGGGGAAGGGGATGGAGTTGGGGGGTGGAGCTGGTGGGGGTGGGCTATCCCTGGGCACATGGGCTCTTGGAGCCACACAGCAGGGTTCCTGGGGCTGGCACCTTTGGGGTGTGAGGTGGGTGGGAGGCATGGCCACACCCCGGCTGGCTGGGCCCCCTTCGGGTTCCGGTTCTGTGGGCTGGCCTGAGGTCAGGCTGCCGGGTGGGTGTCCGGGGAGGTGTGGGTCCCTCACCCCTTTCTTCTGTGTGCTGGGTGAGCAGACTGACCCGTCTCCAGCACCCCCTGCCAGGCCGTCACCTCGTGGGGTCTCCACAGCTGGGGGTGCGAGTTGGCCCCTACTCCCAGTGGCAGGCTGGCGGGGCTCATCTGGCTGATCTGGGCTGTGGGCTTCTGGGACCCGGGGTCGGGAGAAGGTGGTCATGATTGGAGGAGCGAGGCCCCGGGGAAAGGGCCGGCTGGAAGCCCCTGCTTGGTGCTCGGGAACCCTGGGGCAGCACTGCCTCCTGCTGCTAGTCGCAGGTCAGGTGGGGTGGGGAGGCTGCCCCCCTGGCCCCCAGTCAGGTGTCTGTGGTGTCCACGCAGCTCAAAGAGAAGCACAGGCAGAGCGGCGGGGGCGTGGGGGCACTGGAGGAGTTGGAGAACGCTTTCAGCCTGGCTGAGGAGTCCTGCCCCGGCATCTCGGACAAGCTGATGGCCCACCTGGTGGAGCGGGTGCAGAGGTGAGGGCCTGGGGGCGGCAGGCTGCTGTGGGTCCTCCTCGCCGGGTGGGGCTCGATCAGGTCTGTGGGTCCTGCGCCCCCGGCCTGGCCTGCGCTCCTGGGCAGAGCAGTGACCGGGCCTCTGGTCTGCAGGTTTTCCCACAGCAGAAACCACCTGACGTCGACCCGCTGAAGCCCTGTCTGCACCCGGGAGGAGGGTCTCCATCGGGAGCTATGTGGTCAGGACTGTGCTGACCAGGGCCCTGGGCCATCCTGGCCTCGCCCTGCGGGCCACGCCCTTGCCCCCCGCAGAGGGCTGTCCCCTCCCACATCCCCTCCCGGTTGGGCCGAGGCTGCACTCAGCGGCAGAGGCAATGGGCTGGGTCTCCTCAGGGCCCCAAGGCCAGGTGGGTCCCCAGGGCTGTGCTCTCGGCCCAGATGGAGGGGCAGGGATGCGCGGGGCAGACCTGCCGCCTCCTGCCTGGCCCGCCCGCCCATAGAGGCTGTAGGTTCGCCCTGTGTTGTTGGAGCAGGTACCGTGTCTTCTCTTAAGTACTCGTGTCAGCCAGATTGGTGTTTTTTTAAGACAACCAAACTTCCTTGCTTCCCTAAATATTCTGAGGTTAAGGTGTTAGTTTTCATAGAACCTTGAGAGGCTCCTGCCACTTTCAATAAAGACCTGAACTGAGATGTGCTGGTGCTGGGCGGGGTGCAGAGCCCGCGCTCAGGCTCCTGAGTCCTCCTCACCCAAGGTGAGCATGTGTGGCTGCGGGTCAGAGAGCGGGCAGGGGAGGCAGCACATGGACCTGGGGGGAGACCCTTTATTCTCAGCCACTCGGTGTCTCAGCACCGTACACTCCTTGGAATGATAAATTAGTGGGGCTTGCTTTCCACTTTGTAGTAGTGTGGGCTGGGGGGGGCACCAGAGATGCTTCTGTGCCGGGACCCCCCCATCACCCAGCCTGTCGGGAGGCCCTGCCCGGCAGGAGGAGGGCAGGTGGGTGAGGGCAGGGCAGTGCCAACCTCACCCGCACAGAGTTGGCCTGCTCCCACCGCGCACGTTCTCCCGGTGCCCTGCTGAGCCCAGGCGCTGGCTTGCGTCCCAGGGGAGCACTCGCTGCCGGGTGTTGCCAGGAAGCCCGCCCGCCACCGCCAGTCTCCGGGGGGGACGGGCAGTCGTGGGGTGCATGCCAGCCCTGCTTGCTTGCTTGGCTTCTTCATCTGGGCAGGGTGGGCCTCAGGCCTTTTCCTCGGGGGTCCCAGCCCTCTCAGCTGAGGTGCTGGCTCTCTGTATCACCTCCACCCACCTGAGAGGAAGCGCAGAGGTCAGAGCCACCCCACCAACTGCTTGCCTGGGAGGCAGGGCCATCAGATCAGCGGGCTTGTGCCCAAACGCCTTCCCAAGAACCACCTCAAGTAAAGAGGAAAGGGCTGGCTTGGGGCCTGTTAAACCCCAGCAGCAGCGCTCGGCCCCCCTCCAGACCCAGGAGAGTCCCGAGGCGGGACTGGGGGCCCAGGCGCCGCTGCAGTCACCTCCCGAACGTGTATTTGCTGCCGGCCCGGAAGAAGTAGACGTGGGACTTGAACTGGAGCTTGAAGACGTGCTCCTTGTGGATGCCGTCCGTGTCCCCAGGGAGGCTCACGCTGTAGCCCAGCAGCGGGAGGCTGGCCAGCGGGTGGTTGTCCTGGAAGGTGGCGGGCCGTGGCCACTCGGCGGGTGCCCGGCCCCTGCCCGCCCACAGGCGGTTCCGTGAGGGTGCAGCGCCCACAGGCAGGGCCCCACCTACCTGGTGGGTTTTGTAGAAGAACAAGCAGAAATTGGTGAAGACCACCCAGAGTTTCTGCCAGCCACTGCTGTTCTTGAACTTTCTCAGCAGGTATCCAGAAAGCTGGTTCTGAAAGAAATGTTTGCGGATGTGAGTGTCCCAGGACCACCGGCCACAGAGGGCCACCCTTTTGGTTCCGTCCCGCAGGGCTGCCCCCAGGCTTCCCTGTGCTCTGCGGGGCAGGGACGTGGTGCCTCCCCGGCCCTGCCTCAGTGTTTAGCGGTCCAGAGGGCAGGGAGAGGCTGGCCGAGCCCGGCGCTGCTTGTCCCCAGTGCCCCGTGACAGACGCGGGGACAGGCCCACAGTGGCACCCACCCAGCAGGCTGGGGGCAGCACCCCGCTTGGCGTGGAGCCCGCGTGCCCTTCTGTGGGGCCCCTTTGCGGCCTGCTGGTGCCCCGTCCCTCTCTGGGCGTCACGGGCATGGCCCCAGGCCTGAGCCCAGGGACAGCACGGGCTGCTCCTCAGGCCGGGGCCCCGCGTCTCTGACCCCGAGGCTGGCACAGACGGCAGAGGAGCACCCAGGTCACCTCCCGTCCGGCAGGTCCCCATGAGCTGCCCGCTGCCTGCTTGCTCCCCGGCCTGGCCCCCATCTGCTCTGAGGGCGCGCCCAGGGGCCTGACAAGCCAGGCTCCACGCCGAGGGGTGCTGAGGCCAGCTGGGTGCTTCTGTAGGGAGGGAGCAGAGCAGGGGCGCCCGGCCGTACCTCGACAGCCGCGCTGTGGTCGGCCCTGGACACGCTGGTCTGGCGGCACCAGCACACATGCACGGTGGTGTTGGCACGGCGCTGGCCCATTCCCGCCACGGAGCCCTGGGCCCCGCCAGCCTCGTCCTCAGGCTCCAGCTCCAGGGAGGCCTCGTCGGGGGACCCTGGGGAGAGGCCGGCCCTGGCTGAGGACACGGGCGCTCCAGCCAGTGGCAGGCAGGGAGCACAACCACGCACTGCCCTGCCAGAGCGCCCACGCCCGCTGCCCCCCGAACGTGCCCCATGGAAGGAGGGCATGCGGGCATAGCAGGTGGGCTGGCCCGGTGACCCCCAGTCCCGCCCCTAGAAAGCCACCTTGGTCTCCAGGAGCTCAGCCAGCACTCACCGCGGGGCAGGGGGCGCAGCATGCGGGCCGGGGGCGCTGGGGCCGGGGTGCTGCCTGTCTTGGCTGCGTCGATGGCCGTGTTCAGGTCGTGCAGCCACTTGGCCTTTTCTAGCTGGGTGCTGCGGGCAGGCTTAAGGTTTAGCTGCGGGGCAGGGCCCCCTCCCGCGGTGGGGCAGGGAGTTGGGGGGCCTGCCCCCCCCCCCCAGGCATCCTGTGCTGTGGGTCCCGAGGGCTGGCGGAGGCTGCTGATGGCTCAGCCTAACCCACCACGCTCTCTGGGGCTGCCCACATTGTGTTATGTTCCTGAATCATGGAATTTTAAGGCTCTGGTGCGGAAATGGGCGCCTGGAGCCTGGGTCACGGTTAAGCCGCCAAGGTCTCCTGGTGGGAGGCGAGTGCCCCGTGCTCCGACGCAGCCAGGACCCGCAGGCTGCGGCAGGACCCAGGCCCTCTGGGAGGTGCGGGGCCAGGCACAGCTCAGTGCCAATCCCCACGAGGGCCCACACGGGCCACCAGGAACTTGGGTCTCCTTCCCGGGCATGTGACCGGGGGCAGGGGCAGCCCGCGGCGCCGGGCCGTCCTGGAGACGGTCTCAGAAGCCACGCGCTCCCACCGAGGGTGCAGCTGCTCCCCTGAAGCAGTGCTCACTGGGACACATGTCCCGGCGACCGTGACACGCACGGCACAGAAGCCCACGAGCAGATGGGGAAGGGGGCCCTCACCTGGCCGCCACCACGATGGTCTTCTGAGCCGCACAGATGGTGAAACAGGGCGGGACAGACCGCTCACTCTCCAGATCCTCCACCTGTGGGCGGAGAGCAGGGGTCTGGAGCAGGAGCGGGGCTGCACGCAGGTGTGCACCAGGCCCCTGCTGACTACCAGGGCTACCGGGGGGCCTGCCACCCAGGCGGACGAGCTGAGGGCCTCAGGCACCCAACTACTCACCGGAGGGTCCAGAACTATTAGCTGAAAATCAAGCACAGGAAAAGACGTTGAGCATTTTGTTGAAAAGAGAGTCAGACAATTCATGATATATGGTGGTACCAAAACCTAACAAAGACTCAAAGAAAAAGCACACAGACTAACTTTTATGATAAGGGATTACATAACTCCAGAAAAAAGTACTCCCTAACTGGACCTAAAGGCAGAGAGAAGACATTGTCCTATACCAAGCCAGGTGGTTCCAGAAATGCAGGACGGTTTGACATTACGAAGCTAACTGCCAGAATCCACTGTGTCACAAGGAGGAAGAAGGGTGACCGTCTCCATGTGCTGGAGTGCCTCTGCCAAAGTCCTGCGTGTCTGATAAGACCTCTCGGAGACTAGCGGAGGACACTGCTGACAGGGAGTGACTGTCCACCGGCCAGGGCTCGGCAGCCTTCCCTCCACAGCCAGGAGCGAGTGCGGCGTGTCTGTCCCCAGGACTAGCTGGCTACAACTGACCGACCCCCACCCCCCAAACACATGGGATGCCAACCAGGGAGCCCCACGCGGGAGTTACAGGTCAGAAACTAACATGAGCGGCGGTAGCCAGCAGGACAAGGCTTCGCAGGATGGCATCTCCTCTCAGTTAACTAAGTTTAATACAATTTCAACAGAAATCTCAATCATGTTCCTTGAGGAAATTCATCCAAATGATTCCAAAGTTTACTCAGAAGAATTAAATACTTGAGATTAGCAAATAACTTTTTAAACAGAAGGACACATACGAGAAGGAACTTCTGATGAGGTGACTAACCCTTACCACACCACTAATGAGAACAGTGTAGACAGGTGTTGGGACAGACAGAAATGGAACAGAACCTCCAGAAAGAATCCAAGTGTAAAGACAAGAATGTTTTATATGATCAAGGCAGCCTTGGGATCAGTGAAAAAAATGAAGGATTCAACAAATAATGGGAAAGCTGACTACAAAAAGAGAATGTTACATCTCAATCTAAAAACATCCAAAGCAACAAATTTTAGGCAGATTAGTTAGGAAAATAAAACAAGTGTACCAGGAAAGAAGCTGGCAGCACAGTCTTGGTGTGGGAAAGACTTTCTGAGCCCGTAGCAAGGACAGAAACCCTAGAGGAAAAGATGGACAGACTGCCTGACTGAAAACGGCGACCTTCACTCCTTCAACAAGTAGGGCCTCCGTGCCACATGCAGTTCCAGAAGCAAGCCAAACACGATCTGCATCTGGATGGAGTTTAAATTCTCCGAGGTAAAACCAAACTGAAGGCAGAGTGAAAGGAATGACTGGCTTGGCAAGCACCCGAGGCCTAGAAGGGTTTAGAAACTCCACAAACTGCATGAACCAGGCTCCACATTGGCAGGTGGAGCGATGCCCTAGGCTCGGGCAGAGGCAGGTGCAGACGCACCTGATGGGAAGGTCACCCGGCCAGCTGCTCTTACAGCCGCGTAGCGGTAACGGTCAAGAGTGCCCCCAGCTCACACGATTTATCTCAAGGACCTAACTAAGGATGTGTCAAAAGACAAAAACGGTGGTGCTTGTTTCTCATCCTGAAAATCTAGATGCAGCAGTGTCCAGTGCAGGGAACTGGCTAAATGAGCTGGGGCCTGGCTCCCTGGTCCAGTGCTCAGGACTCTGGAGCCAGTGGTGAAAGCAGGGGCTGTTGAGACGAGCTGCCACACAGGGCCAGCGCCGGTCACAGCCAGCCTGTGGCACACGCTCCCGGGTGACGGCCAAAGGCCTGCAGTTCTCACTGCCAGGCGGCAGAGCGAGCACTGATTTTCACTTGGCATTTTCAGCTTCTTTCTATAATGAAGATGTCACTTTCACATTTCAAAACAGAGGGGATCTGCTTCCAGGGATGGCGGGAGAGGTCATTCAGACTGACCCCTTCATGCTGAGAGTTGGAAAAGCTGAACAAATGTCAGAGACATCTACGGAAGTTCTGGCACTGTCTCGAAGGAGACATGTGCCCGGCGCACAGAGGGCGGCAAGAAGGGCCAGACGCCACGAGGGGGAACGTGGCAGGACGGAGCTGGACTGACAGGAGAGCCCACCCACCACCCGCAGCAGATGGGGCCTGGTGGGGCCGCAGCGAGGGGCTCGCTGCCCGACAGCACGTCCTCACAGCAGAAACCTGAACTCGGCCGCCCATGTTTGCTGGTCCCCAGATGGGTTCCAGGTGGGAGGGAGGTTCACACAGCGGGGAGTCAGTGTCTGCGGGGGTGTCTCACCACAGAAAGCGGTGATCACGGAGAGGACAGACTGCCTCGTGTTAGGACGAGGCACCTTGCTCGTCAGCGTCCATGCCCCACGTTGCCCTGTGGCGGCGGGCGTGTGGCGTGGAGACA